GATATCGACTATTTTGAGGTATATACGATGTTTACCGGTGGATGAAATTCGTGACTTATAGACGGGGAGGGCATTGTGTCCAGGCTATATATCAGGAAGCGGTCATAAACTTTGTTCATGTCTAGATGTTAAATGATGCCAGGTAGCAACCTAGATAAGATGATAAATGCACATAAGGAGCACGTCCTATCGTGGCCAAGAAAACAAAAACAAAAGGCCAAACCCCAAGCAAGCCATACACCTACACCTTCACCAGTTTACCCAACAAAAAGATGAACTAGGATAGATTATGATTGCCCCCAGCTCGGGAGGCCTGTCGAGAATGCTGTCGCGAGATATCATCCTCGTCGCTGTCATCGCCCACAGCGTAGTGTTCTCTTTCGAGATCCGGAGAATGAAGGTCATCGAGTTCGGCCTCGTCGAAATCCCCAGCTTCGACGTCTGCGCCTCCCGTACGCTTGTTGTGGAACCGCTCGAGAACAGAGCTTCCGCTCATGTCCTTATGCCAGACGCCCCGGTATCCCTGGTGACGCCGGCGGCTGCGCCAGATGAAGAAGCCCCAAACTAATACTCCGATAATGACGACGACGAGAACGGCTTCACCTGACTTGGCGTAAGCTTTCCATTCCGTCTCCTTGATTCTCTCCTTCTCCTGCTCCTCCGCCGCGGTGCTGTTGGGATGGCCGCCCACCGACGTCTGGGGCAGCTTCTCGCCGTCAATGCGCGAGTCGGCAGGGCTGCCTCCGATGCTCGCGATATCGACATTCATGAAGCGATCTAGCATGTCCCGGCTCTGACGGGGAAGGTCGTAGGGAACCATGTGACTTGCGTTGTAGATGAGCACGTAAGTCAAGTTTCTGGCATATTGATAGATACCAGCCGGCTCGCCTTCGAAACTCCAGTCGTGTCGAGGAGCCCAGACGCCGGGTGAGGTCTCGAAACCGGTGCCCCCGTTCCACTTCATGTTGTTGATGAGCTGTTCCGTGCCGACATGGTTGCAAATTAGGTCCTTGTCTCCGCTGAAAAGAAGGATTTGAAGGCCCGATTCCAGCAAGCCAGGAAGTAGTTGAACCGAGGGTGGGGACTTTTGCGGATTGAAGGCGCTGCTCACTGCTCCTGAACACTCCACCCAGCCAGACTTCTTTTCCGGATTGATGTTAAGCGCTTTAACAACATCTTCTCGCTGCAGGTAAGGCTTCACGTCCTCCAGGTCGGTCGGCCAGTTCATACCGCATGCGTCGGTGGTGTCACGAAGGCGGATGTCATACATGTTGAGACATTGGTTGTCTTCGACCGTCTTATCCAACAGAGCATTCATGACCTTCTCGCAATCGTTCAGATGAACCTTGTTCTTGCCCGTTTCCAACCGGGACTTGCAGACTGACTGCAAAACTTCGAGTTCCTTTGCGACCCGGCTGCCTTCCTTGATAAGGCCTTCTTCATATGCGTAGGGTAAGTAGGACATGTACTGTTCATTTGGAGAAATCCAACCATTGCCAATCAATAGACCTTTCAGATTCCACGAAGCGATGGTCTTTCCTTGAACATTCTTATTGCGTTCCTGAATGGCTTTGGCGATGTATGGAATATGCTGGCCGGCGTAAGACTCGCCGGCAATGTAGATCTGTGGGAGATGTTAGAAGAGAATCCTTTAAGGTGCAAGGCTAGGGCAGAGCGGAGTATTGCAGCATACATCATCGCGTTCATACTCCGGAAATAATCTGAACCACTCTTCCAGGAAGACAATGAACTGAGCCGACATCTCATCGAGCTCATGGAGATAACTGTCCGTGTTGACGTAACTGAACCCGGTTCCAACTGGTTGATCGACGAACAACAAATTGGCGAATTCGTCCCATGAACCCTCATTATATGTCAAGGTTTCATTGTCCTTCAAACGATACGGACCGACCTCCATCAATGCGCCGTCCATGGAACTACATCCGGGTCCGCCGTTCAGCCAGATCACGGTTCGTTGGCGATTGGCGATATGGCGATTCTGATAGTGCCAAAAGAACAGGTTCCCATTGTTCTGGGGATCCACCTCGATATGGCTGCGCGTGGAGGCCGCAAGTCAGTAAAAAGGGTGCTAAGCGGACCGTTCCGGGATATTGAAGCTTACCCAGCATGCATCTTCAGCAAGGGCCCCTCGGGGGCACCGGGCAAGGAGTGAACATAATAGTCTGCGGCCGACTTGGCTGACACCAAGGACGGGCTCAGAAAAAGGAGCGTTGAGATCAACCAGGACGCCATTGAGGGAATGGAAGTGGTCTCCCCGCGGAATGATAAGGAGACCGTGTATGTGTAGGCGATTAGTACTAAGATATGGCGGCGGCGGCGTCGGCGGATGACCGGGGTAGTAGTAGATAGTGCCGAAGACGGCGCGGAGGATACGGTCCCAAGTGGGATTGAAGTCGCGCTCAAGGAGTCATCGAATTTCAGCCAGCGGGGCCTTGCACTTTTCGCTTACCCGTCACCCTTGGGGGCGGAGGTAATGGGAAGCAACACTCTCGGGGATTACGTCGGCGGAGAGGGCCGGGAGGGAACCTGGTTCAGGAACAGGGATAAAGGTCAAGGCCAGAGGGAGGCGGGGTAGGAGTGTTTGTGACCTCTAGCACAAGAGTCGCTGTCCAGACACGCGCCAGATGTGAAGGTCAAGAGATTCCGAAGGAGAAAAAGGGGAGGAGAGGGCGAAAGATGGGAAAGGGAAGTGGATGAGAGAAGCTGAGGGAGAGAGTGGATAGAGAGAGCATAAGAGGATGGCGTGGCCAGACGGGGCGGCGCTCGGTATGGCCCCGTATCAGCCGGTATCTGGGCGATCCCGTTACAATTGTTACGCACCCTGAAGAGCCGTGGGAAGCGGCCTGAGGGAAGGGATGAAACCATTCTGATACCGTTTCCAGACCGTCTCAGCCTATCGTTGCCTATTTGGGGGCTCTATAGGTTGCTTCTATAGAAAGACTCGAATCCCGTCGGATTCTCTGGTTCTATGGCTTTTCTGAATGTGTCTTTCTCATGCATTATGTGAATCGGCCAAATAGAACGCCACAATGTCCTCGTGGCAATAGCTCTAATGGTTATCTGACCATATCGCTTTTCTTCTTCCGAAGCTATCCGTGAAGTAGTTCTCGCCGGTGCTAGCCAAGAGTTCGCCCGAATCGGGTCAGTCCTTAGGGGTTCATGACTTAGTCCTTCATGTTGCTGGTCTAGCGCTCATGATCTCTTATTATATTTCTCTCTTTAACTATCCTGTACAGAGGTTTATTTTTTTCAGGACAAGCTACGTTCGTCGCTGGTATACCAGATTAAACAAGATCATCGATGCCCTGGTCAGCATCCTTCTTGATCAAGTCAACCATGCCCTGGGATTTGTCAGTGATATCGTGAGATGAGAAATGATGTCTCCGTGGGTGAGAGGTTCTTCCAGGACGCACCTTGGGCATGATTGGCTCTCCATCATCGCCTTTTACATAGCGGAACGGCATCTCGGTGCGTTCATGCTCGTTAATCAAAATCTCCGGGTAGTCAATGTACTGAATTTGCTCCAGGGGCACTGTCCCGGGGTCAGCTCTTGTCTCTCATCTCACTGTCCAGAGAAGCAGGGGTTGACCTTTCTCATGCACGACCATGCGCGTAACACGCACCGCCGTGTCCGTGGTCATCTGCTTAGGGCCCAGTCTTCTTCCGGCATAACCCTTCTTGCGCAGTTCGGAAGTCCGATCTAAATCCATTTCGTCAACAGCTTGAACCTCATGGTCACTGCGATTTCAAAAGGGAACTTACCACGAGGAGGATCATCGCCTGAAGAACAGCGGATCTCGACGGTTAGCTATCTTGGAAATATCATAATGCCAACTAAATACCTCCGACAGTCCAGGCTCGATGATTGGAAGCACTCACCAAGAATACCTCCGAAAAGGAAGACATCAAAAGTGTCTGCATCAGCGGGACTTAATTCCACGGTGGCAGCGGGGTCCAGCAGGCAGACTCTGGATTTCCGATCCGCAAAGATTTGCTCGACACTGCGATGCTCCACCCCAAGGCCTGGGGTAGCAGCCAGGTCTTCTGGCATCTGCAAGGAGGTGGGCACCGAACTGAGGAGAAACTTGCTTCCCGCGGCGTGTGATTCACGGGCAATGCAGCCATACTCCAGGGCGGACCAAGCACCCAGCTCGGGGTCCAGATGTTCGACCACAATGGTCACGGGTTCCGAACCTTGCGCGGACATGGTGTCGCAATTGGAAGGATTTGATGTATCCTGCAGTTGAAACAATGGCTTAGAGCGTTTACGATTGGATGGGTGTATCGAGAGAAGTGGTCTGAACCAGCCCAAAGTGTGTCGTCCTAGGTAGTTATACCTTGTTCTTCTTTTCCCTTTTCTTGTCGTCAGAATATAACGGCAACCAAGGATTATGGGAATAAGAAGAAAAGAAAAAAAAGGAATGTCCCAAATTAATTCAAAATTATGAATAGTATAGACGGAGAGAGGGCGACGGGGAATAGCCTACGTGGAGAAAATCCAGCAAGACTGGAAGAAGAGATGAGTGCGATGCGTTCGTGGAGGGGTAGAATGGAGAAAAGCTGCTGAATTTGATTCCGTTTGAAGTCAATTCGAGGTCGAATACCGAGTAATAATAATACCACCCCGACAAGTTCACCACCACCACCTCCTCCTACTCCTTCGTTACCACTCCCGATTTACATCGTACCATTACTTCCAGGGGAGCTTTGAAGCAGATGAGGCAGTTTACTTCTAATATAGAACTTGCATAATTAATTAGAAAGAAGAGTAATTTGTTGGATCTTATTCTCTACATCTGATTTCACAATGAAACATGGAGGGGTTGGCTGGGTTTGGTTAGTTTCTAATCGATAACCCGGCAACTTATCAAGGCCAACAACGATAAAGACTATCGGCACTTGAATCTAAGTACGTAGTAGTTCTTGAGCTTACTAGTGATTGCACAAGAACCACTGATGGCATTAACTCCGCTGTCAAGCAGAATTACATAGGTCTGTAAGTAGTGAACATTGATACACATTACCTCTTGTGAAATACCGATTGATCCATGCTGGAAGTGAGTTGCTGGCAAGGTCGGTATTGGTATGTAACACTATAGTCACGAGGGAGTGGAGCCGCTCCAGAATACACCAGACTAAACTGGATGCAGATAGCACCATACCATAACTGGCATAATGGGTACAGGTGGATCGACATTAGCGGAGAACAGGGTTGGTACTGAGACGGTCACAGCCAACCATCAGGCAGTGGCACCTTCCCCCAATTATGACGGGCAAGGTCACTTCTCTCTGTCTCTCTCTGTCTCTCTCTCTTTATCTTCGGACTGCTTGCTTGGCTTGCTCTTCTGCCTCTTCCTCCTCCCACTTTCAACTCATCCCCTCCTCCACTTCCCCCCTTTTTCTCTTCTGTCTCTTATCTTCTCGGTTTGGCTATCTTCTTCATTCTCTCTTGCTTTCACACCCTTCCCTTCCCTTCCCTTCCACACCTCCTTTGGTTCAGTCAACTCGACCAACTTATTGGTGTCGTCCCATCCTGTGGAATCTATACTTTCCTCCCCGCCATCGGTGGGGTTTCCTGACGACACTCCCTTCCAGTGACCGCGCCTCACCCAGTCCTGTCCACACCCCCCCTCCAACAACCTAACAACCTCACTTTATTCTTGCCCAACTCTTCCTTCTTCTATTCCTTTTCACCGATTTTGTTCTCTTTCTTTCTCTCCTGTCAATCCTCATTTTTTTAACTTTGGTTCGCCAATATGAATCCCCATCAGCAGAACAAGATCGATACTAGCGTGAGTCTTTCCCGGGCGACCAATCTATTTGAAAATAATGTTCCATAAGACTGACAGTGACTTTGTATCTATTTAGAAAATGAGCCCGGATGAGCAGCGGCTTTTCCGCCTCTATGGCAAGATGCCCACCAAGAAAGACCTCCTGCAGAACAAATTGAAGGTATGCCGACTTAATTGTCTTCGAATTCTGACCGTCAACCCTCTAATCGCGGGCTTGTTACTCTTCAGGAGCGCAAATACTTTGACTCGGGGGATTACGCACTCAGCAAGGCCGGAAAGGCTTCGGATGTCGGTGTCACCAACATCGGCTCCCAGCACCCCGTCCCGGAGAACATTCCTCACCTAACTGCCACCTCGCCTGGTGCTAACAACCCTGCGGCTGCAAGCAATGGCGGCAGCATCAGTGCTCAAGGAGGCCAGCAGATCCCTGGTAGCATCAGTGGCCATCCCGGCTCCATCGGATTTCAGAGCCGAAGCCCCGTGAAGGACCCAAGTTATCTGCAACGGGAGACAAGTGCGGATGAGACCGAGGAAGCCGAGAAGAAGGAAGATGACAGCGTGAGCCCACCCCCTGCGCGTGGTGGTGTTCCGATCCGACAATAAATACCTGAACTGTCACTTTTGTTCTCCTTGCCCCATTCGCACTTGTTTTCGCATCATGTCTCTGTTTCCCCCCGTCGGTGGTGGTGGCATCAAAAGAGCCCGGCGCTATGGATCGATTCTAATGTATTTACGACATTTGTTTCCCATCTTCCTTCTCCCCTTTCCGTTTTTAGCGACCTCTGTGGACAAAACAGAATGGCTTTGTTTCCGAGCCGGCGGCAATGAGGTTGCAAGGGCGGTGGGAGCCGAGGCTCGGTCCAGTCAGGGCCTTTTGACAGAAGCTCAATACGGAGCTGTGCTCTAAGCCTGTCTACTTGGACCAAGCTCGATTACTGGACCCGTCCTCTCAGAGTTCGTTGCTCGTGATATCGGCTTTTGAGGTCACCTCAACGCTTTTCGTTTTGAAGCTTCTTCTCTTCTCTGTCAATATCAGCTGCAGAACATATATTGGTCATTTGCTGGTCCAGTCATTCCACAGGCCCCTTCCTGATGCGTTCATTCCCGCTCATATTTGTCTGTGTGATGCCGCACAGAACGTGAGATCTTTTCGCATACTGTTGTTATCTTGTGGGTAAAGGAGTGCGTGAGTGAGTGCGTGCTGGATACACGGTTCAATTCGGAGATGGCAATGCACCTGGCATCTGTTCTATTCCTGAAGTACGTTGGCAAACGAGCCCTCAGCAGGGTCAAAATGCAAATTGATGGTTTTTCTCTCCGTCCCTGTCGCGGTCTCAGATCCCATGCCCTGTGTGTGGGCTCTACATTGATACGGTAGGCGGAATGCATCCCGTGTGTATCCACTATCCCATCTGTTTAGATGGGCGGGATAGCACACCTTGGGTGCTGGCAACATGATACCGCGAGGTTGATATTCTGCGCTATGTGTAACATGAAGATGACCAATACAAGATCGCTACAGGCAGGGGGAAGACATCGCATCTTCCATCGCAAAACTGTCATTGGGTATAAGAACTCGTCTAAGGCACACAAAAGGCAACAAAGCCTGGGATGGGGCAATACATGCTGTTATATGATCCTTGATTGCGAATTGGAAGAGAAGAAAAAAAGCAAAGATAAAAATAGAAATGAATTGACGACTCAGCAAAACGACTGGGGTATAGTAACAAGAGTGGCTCGCAAGACCATGGTGTAAATGAGAGAGGACAAGTTTATAAAGGAGCGATGAAAGGCAGGAGGGTACCTGAACCCCCAGCAGAAGGGGCCAGCAGTGTGTTTGCAGGGACAGCACGGCAGCAAAACAAGTCGGGTGCACCATAATTGAGCCCGCCGTCGCGGATGGGGTGCTCATGACCGACACAGGCTATACATTATCATTCCCACCCGGCTAGGGGGGCAAATAATTGCATGGCTCTGGTATAGCTGCGTGAAGGGTGTGGTCGAGAGCTGTTTGCCGCCCCGTAACCTGGATTCCCGGAGTAACATACTCTGAGTGGGATGCTGCAAGTAGGGCCAATGAGAAAGCTTTTGTGCTTCCGGTTCCCATTCAAAGAAATGCAATAGTTCTGAGATAGCAAAATGACAATGCTGGCCTTCGAAGTGCTTCTGATAGAAGCTCCGGCGAAAAGCATGCTTTACGTGCCTGGCATAGTCTAGCCTGAAAAGTCGAAGAATCCGGGCAATATTGGCCTCAGCTGTAGGCTTCGAAAGGCGTCCGTGTCCGGCTCGATAGTTGTAGATGAAGAGCCAAGCGATTCCGACGAAGGCTGCGGTATCTCCGCAGTCCACGTCGACAAGATGCCAGAAAGTTGCATCCATATTTTTGACGGCTCCATTCAGTCAGTCTTCCAGTGACCAGCGAGTCCAGAGTCCAGATCGTCGTTTTCACCAAGGTATAGCTCGACAGCGTACAAGGCCATGGTGCCGGCGAGGTTGGCCCACCGCCAAAGGTTTCCACCGCCGGCTCCTTGGGTGCTCCACCATTCGCCACTGCCACCCATTGCTTGAGAGGTGGAAGCGAAATGCTGCATCAGGAGACTAGTGTACACGGCGATGAGGATGGACGGAGAGAAGTAGCTGAGTACGCCCAAGAATTGGCCCGCCGCATCGGAGTCGTCCAACGAGGCTTCTTGAGAGAGAGCTCGTGCACCCGCTTCGCGGACGGCGGGTATGATGCGAGTCGATGCGTACAGAACAAGGATTCGGTATGTGAGCGAGATCAATACAGAAGGGGTGACGGCACCGAACACTGCCGTGATAACATTGAAGGCCGCGTGGATGATGGAGGGTAAGGTGGACAAGGCGTGCATCAGGGTCGTGTAGGAAGCCATGATAATAGGAGGAAGCGGCGGGAAGTCCCCGGCTTGAGCGGGGGAAGGTACTTGCTCCACAGGATGCGATGGCTGGTAATCAGTGAAAATCTGGTAGATGCAGAGAACGATGTATGCGAACAGTAGAGAACTTTCTACTGGGTTTCCTCGCCCACTGCCAATGCCCCACGCGCAGAGGATCACAGCACAGGTGATGGATACTCCGATCAAAGCGGCATCAACATTTGAGATCTCGGGGAATTGGAGGACCCGCCACAGGAAGTATACCGAGCTCGATATGATGGAGGCGGAGAGTACCAGGAGACCGATCTAGCGAAGCACGAATTAGCAAATAGGCATCCTGCAAATATGGGCTATAGAGTGACGTGGACATACCATCCAACTATCGCTTCGCCCACCACGGTTGACAAGCCAGCGGGTAATCTGCCCTGCAGCCTGGATGACCAATAAGCTGCAGAATCCTTCCACCAGCTGGAAAACCGGGGTCGACCATCTCAGCAGTTTATCCCAATTCCCAATAGTCACTGATTCTACCAGTCCATCGGGCCCAAACAGCCACTCCTGGATCGACGAGTCGTGGGCTCTCTTGCCCGTGAAGGTCCGCTCCACCCAAGAGCCAGCATTATCGGTATCGATCGAGAAGCGGTTCAGCGACCAGATAAGCAGGATCGGAATAATGAGCCATTGCGTCGAGCTAATGACGACGATCAGGGAGGAGCGGAGCCATGACCGATCAGGCGTAGTGAGGCGCAGAAGCGAAAATAGGAAGTAGAAGGTGGCCAGGGACAAGGAATAAGCTAGACCGCATGTTTTCCCACCCACATCAAAGGCGAGGGGAATGGAAGAGACGGTGACGGCCAGAAAGACGGCCGACGAAAGGGCGCGGAAGAGCCACATCGGACAATATGGCCCAGGGCTACTGGACAGGGGACGCGCGCGAAAGAAGCAGATGAGGCACGGGGAGGGTCAAATATGCTGGAGGAGAGAGCGAGCAGGTACGGACGGACGCGGTGTCAACTTAATAGGTTAGACAGCCTCCAAGAGTCAATCTTGGGGTGGAAGCGCAAGAGAGTGACGAAATCCCGATTTAAGGATACATGAAGCCCGATTTCCCGAATTCTAGACTGGGTTTTGAGCTCGCTGGGCGATGCTAGCTGGGTCTATGAAGAAATAGAAAATTTCTCCCTCTTCTTTCCAGGCGATGTAAGAATTTTGATCTTATCACTTAAGCGGGACGGAATATGATGATGGATGATGATGATGGGATGGGACTGGGCCTGAACTGGTTGTGGCACGTGCAAAGGATAAATAGTGTCAGACACGCCAACCGATCGCTGGACAGATTCGCTTTTTCTTTTTTCTTTTTTTTTGGGGGGGGGGAGAGAGCCACTGACAGAGGCGCAAAAGCTTAACAGCCGCAGCGACTCAGGATGGACAGCAAGTAGAGGCACAAAAACCAGGAAAGGGGCGATGAAGCCGGGGGGCGCAGACCGAGTTTAGGTGGGCAATTCGACGATAGTCGCAATAGTAATAATAATAATAATAATAACACCAAATCCACTCCACCCGTTTTAGCGTAGAACGGAAGGCGGTGGAGCTGGTCCAGATGCTTAGTCGGCTGCAAGTAGCGGTCAGAAGAGGAAAAAGAAGCAGCTGGAAGGAAAAGATGATGCCCAAACTGGTGGAGATGGATAAATCGTATGAAGCCAAGTCTGAAGAGATGAATATCTGCGGAAGAGGGTCGAAGCTGGTTGAATGAATCCTTCAGGATAACCAACAAACATACAGCATACATACAGCATACAGTACGTAAATCCATCTGATTACATACACGGATTTCCTCTTCAGGACTAGCTCTTCCCCTCTCTTTCACATGCTTCCGTTAAGCCCTTGCGATAGAAGCCCTAAGGAGCCGCCCGATGAAGTCAAGCGGCAGTTGCAAACTCGCCCAGGTCCTTTCCTCTTGTGGAAGGCGCTGTTCTTCCAGTCAACCAATCACAAATCACAGATACCAAACCGATCCCCAATCCAGACCCCTCATAGACTGGTTCTTTCTCCAAAAGGTAACTTACTGTAGTATTCCGATTACCTAGTAGTACTTTACTTTACTTTTACCATTTCTTGAACCTCTTTCATCTTCATCTTTCACTATTCACTGCTTTTCTATTAGTATATGCTCCGCTGGCGTCGATTCTTCACCATGGCCGAAACTGCTGCGAAGAAAGTCAAGACCTCCTCTCCCTTGATTGGAACTCACAAGTGAGTACGCGCAGAAGCTTCTTCCCCGGCTTCCCCTCCATTCATAGATTTGCGATGTGCTGACTCTTCCTCTTTTCCCTGCGCAGTGGTCACTTCCACGCCGATGAGGCTCTTGCTGTCTATCTCCTCCGTCTTCTGCCCACATACTCCTCCTCTCCCCTCCTCCGGACCAGAGACCCCGCTCAATTAGCTACCTGCCACACCGTCGTCGACGTGGGCGGAGAGTACGATGCTGCCAGCAACCGCTATGATCATCACCAGCGCACTTTCGCAACCACTTTCCCCAACCACAACACCAAGCTCTCCTCTGCGGGTTTGGTGTACATGCACTTCGGTCGGGCCATCATCGCCCAGCACACCTCGTTGCCCGTGGACCATGAGGACGTGACTCTCCTGTACGAGAAGCTTTACACCGATTTCATTGAAGCCATTGATGCCAACGATAATGGTGTCTCTGTCTACGACCCCGCTGCCGTTTCCGCTGCCAACATCCAGAAGCGCTTCAAGGATGGCGGAATCACCATCACCTCCGTGGTGGGTGACATGAACAACCCGGACCCCACCTGCCCTCCCGGCGAGCCTCAGGACGAGGATAGTCTGTTCGCCAGAGCCAGCACGTTCATTGGCAACGTCTTTGCTCGCAAGTTGCACCATGCCGTTTCCTCCTGGCTGCCTGCGCGGACCACCGTAGGCGCTGCTTACCGTTCTCGTCGGGACGTTCACCCGTCCGGCCGGATCATCGTCCTGCCTCAGGGTGGTGTGCCCTGGAAGGAGCACCTCTACAACTTCGAGAAGGAAGCCTCTGGGTCAGAGGAAACCAACCCTGATGAGGAGGCTTACTATGTTCTGTACCCCGAGAGTGCGGCAGAAGGTTCGAAGTGGCGTGTGCAGTGCGTCTCTGTAAACGAGGGTAGCTTCGTGTCCCGCAAGCCTCTTCCCGAGGCGTGGCGGGGTGTCCGCGACGCCGATCTCGACGGTGTTATGGCCGCGGAGGCTGAGAAGTCTGGAAAGCCCAAGATCCCCGAGGGTGCCGTTTTCGTTCACGCCAGTGGCTTCATTGGTGGCCACCAGACCAAGGAGGGTGCCCTTGCCATGGCCACCCGTGGTCTCGAACAATAAGCTGCAAGTATAGTTGGCAGCTGCGGATGGATGCAAATTTACGATAGAATTTATGCGTACATACTTCTTGTCATGACGGTACGGGATGCAGTTAGGAAAACCATCTAAAAGTTATATTGTTGGCCAAAGTGCTGTGTTGAGAAATCAATGCATAAGGCATCGTTAAAACGTAGCCTTTATTACTGGCTTCTTCGTAATGAGACATTAGATAGCAAGGGGAAGTCGCACTGGTCACCTATGTCGCGTCTATTTCAACACTTGGCCGGGCAGGTTCCATTCGACTTTACTGATTCCTCCATTGCCCATCAACCACAGCGTCTTCAGCTCCGGCCCCGTCCAGGCAAAATTCTGGACCGTGTAATTGGTTTGAATCGTCAAGAGCAGCTCCCCAGAAGGGTCAAGAACATCGACACCTCGACCACATCCCGTCAGAATGTACCCATTCGCTGCCACTTTCAGTCCATCCGGGACAAAGCCTGGTGCCAGATAAATGGCCCGTTTGTTATAAGCGTGGGCACCATCCTCACTCACGTCAAATGCATAGATGGTCCTATAGAAGGAGAAAAGAGATGAGTTAGTCACCTTTCGGGTCTTCGAGCAAATCAGGACCAGGCTTTACACACCGCCGATGCGTGGTATTAAACGTACTGCCCGGATGGCCATATTTGGGATCAATAGGAGCGCTGACTGCCGCAGTATCGCTGATGTATACAATAGTTCCATCTGGGGTGAAAGCGATCCCGTTGGGCTGACCGATTGAGTCGTCCACAACTACCACAGCCCCAGAAGAAGTGTTATATCTGTAACTGGCGCAGGGAAGCTGGGGAGGGGTGTCTGTGATATCGTTGAACCAGGAGTATTCTGTACATCGGGGTATATCAATTACCGAATTCCACATGGCATATGGTAGGTGGGAAGAGCTTACGTGGATCTGTGAACCAGATATCGCCAGTCTTTGGATGCACGGCAATGTCGTCAATGGTGTTGAAGTAGTATCCAAAGTAATTGTTGACCAGGCTCGTTGTTTTATTCGTCTCTGGATCTAAGGTTCTGAGGGAGATGCGTTGTTCAGTCCCGCCAATTGATCTGTTGCCGCCAGATGCGCCCCAGATGATTTTGCCGTTATGGAACGTGCCGCCATTGGGGGCATAGACTGGTGGATCGGAGAGGTATTCGGATAAAGTTGGGGGGTCCTGGTTGAGGTCGACAACCAGCTGCGGAAGATAGCCTGGCGGCGGCGCGAGCTGCGAAAGGTACAGCTTGTTCTGCGATGCCACGTAGACGGGGGCTTCGTGCACCGCATCGTTCACGGCAAAAACGTATTCGTAGCTCGGGTTCGAGCCTAGGACTTCGAGTCCTTTCTCTTTATTATACACAATGAAATCCGCGGTCTTGACGTCTTGCAGGACTGTGCCGTTTGCTACGGTGGTATCACCGAAGGTCGTAACGGCATCCATAGTGCTTACATTGCGAAAGAAGTGGTAGCTATTCTGAGCGTCAATGACTGCCCGGGCGTTTCAGCAGCTGGGAGTTACGAGGGACTCACGGAAGCACATTCGCATAGTGATTGACGCAGACAACCGAGGGGCCACATTCTTCTGAGATGGGATGGGTAACGCCTGTCTGGGCTTGGACGAGACTGCCCGTGAAAGATCCGAGTAACAGCGGGAGTTTTTTCATTGTGATATGTAAATCTATATATAAATTCCGTCAAGTCGACGATTCAAAGAGATCAAGGAAGGCCCAGATGCACCCTTTCATTCCGATCAACAGATCCCCCGGTGGGCTATACAGTGATATTTGTAGACTATCCATCGGAAGATGGCGCGGGTAATTGGAAAGAGGAAGGAGTAATCAACGGGATGATCCCGATTTTTATCCAAGCCAGTTTGATCCCAAGCATACATGGGGGGCCTTGCCTCGGGGGGTTTTGAGGTCTTCGGGGCGAGCTTTGGACGGATGCGGTAATTGGAAACCCTCCTCTTAGTGTGGGGTACAGACGAGTTTGGGGCACGATCATCGCCCCTCCGGGGACTTCTCCCCCAAGACAAGCCATTCTCAATATTGCGGAGCGGCTTAGTAGGTCTCGGCAATCTGATTTTCGGATGAGTTCCCAGGCTTGCGGGAAATGAGCAAGCAGGTTCTGGTGACCTGTAAATCGGAGAACGTCCGAGGGGAGGGCCGAGGGAGATGCTGCAAAAGAAGCAGAGTGTCTGTTTACCCCCAAACAGATCCTTGCCATTGCCCATGGAAAAAGATGAAAGCAAGTCATCCATTAATGCCGGATGTTCAGGGAACTAATGTCTTCAATGCTGCCAGTGCCATCACCAGACACCGGGAGGTCTTTGGCATCGGGGTGTATATCCGAGTTGTCTTCCCTCTCGCCCAGGGCACGCTGGATCAACTTGGCTTTAACAGCAGCGCCTTTCATGCGCTCATCTACATCATTCACCGCTTCCTCCGTGTTCACCATAGGCAGGGAAGCGGGGTCTACCAGTTCCAGCAGGATCTCGATGTTCTTGGCTAGCCTGGAGCTCGATGAAAGGCTCGACATTTCCTTGCAGATGGCGGGATCCAACAAGGAAAGTTCTACCTGTTTGTGATCACTTTCCAGGGCTCCGTTGTTCTGGCCATTGGACTCGGGGTTTCCCAACAGCTGCGAATCTGCAAGCCGTTGAGACCAGACCAGGGCTTTGCCATATAGTCTTCCCATCTCGAGGAACTTCTCGAATCCTTTCTCGACAGCAAACACACTACCCTCTGTATACCCGGCTTGTGCACCATCCGCTGCACCCAGATCGTAGCCTTCTTGGTAGAATTCTTCCTCCAGGTCGAGCAGACTGTCAAGTAGGTTATTGTTCTCCATGATTGCGATTCAAGGAGAATAAAGAGATAGACACGGGAGGGAAGGAATGAGAGACAAGACGGTAATAGAGTAGAGAACGCGACAGTGGTATCTAGGAATCCGCTATTAGTTGCAGCAGTCGAGTGGGGGCAAAGGAATGGAACAGTAGGAGACGAGATGATATGAAAGGGAAGCGCCCAAAAAAAGTGCGGAGAGAAGCGGCCGAAAGCGATGAAGCGATGAATCATCCGCACCCGCGAAAAAGTTGCAACATTTCTACCCCTCCATCCCGCTGATAGTCCAATTCCCCGCCATCCGCCTCCAATTCCATCATGGCTTCAGACTCTAAGATCTTGCCCAAGAAGGGCCAGCGCAATATTTTGGTCACCAGTGCTTTGCCCTACGTCAACAACGTGCCTCACTTGGGTAACATTGTTGGTTCCGTCCTCAGTGCTGATGTCTTCGCCAGGTACTATCTATTCATCCTGCTTCCTTTCCTCCCCCCCCTCCCCATTGCTCCCTTTGTTTGGCTCCTCTCCGCGAGCTCTCTCATTAATTCCATTCCCACAATGCTAACACCCACTTCTTCAGATTCCACAAGGCTTGCGGACATCAAACACTCTACATCTGTGGTACCGATGAGTATGGAACGGCAACCGAGACCAAGGCGTTGGAGGAGAAGGTGACCCCGGAGGAGCTGTGCGCCAAGTACAACAAGATCCACCAGCAGGTGTACGAATGGTTCGAGATTGGCTTTGATCACTTCGGACGTACCCCGACCCAGCAACACACCGAAATTTCCCAGGCCATCTTCAAGAAGCTCTATGAGAACGGCTATCTGACGGAGAAGACGGCGGAACAGCCCTTCTGTGAGACACATGGATCTTTCTTGGCGGATCGTTACGTGGAAGGTGAATGCCCCCGGTGCCACTACGACGATGCTCGTGGTGACCAGTGCGATAAGTGCGGTCACCTCTTGGATCCCTTCGACCTCATCAACCCCCGCTGCAAGCTTGATGGCGCCACCCCCGTCCGCCGCTCTACGAAACACATCCACCTTCTCCTCGACAAACTCCAGCCTCAGATTGAAGAATGGTCTAAGAATGCTATCGAAAAGGGCGACTGGCCTAAGAACTCGCGTGTCATCACCGAGTCTTGGTTGAAGGAAGGTCTGAAGGACCGCGGTATCACCAGAGACCTGAAGTGGGGTGTCCCGGTGCCTCTGGAGGGATTCGAGAGCAAGGTGCTTTATGTCTGGTTTGAGGCTTGCATTGGTTACCCCTCCATCACGGCCAACTATACCCCCGATTGGGAGCTCTGGTGGCGGAACCCGGAGGATGTCCAGCTGTATCAGTTCCTGGGCAAGGATAACGTTCCTTTCCACAGTGTCATCTTCCCCGGTTCTCAGCTGGGAACCAAGGAGAAGTGGACTATGCTTCACCATCTGAGCACCACGGAGTACCTGAACTACGAGGGTGGCAAGTTCAGTAAGTCTAGAGGTATTGGTGTCTTTGGTACCAGCGCCAAGGAGACGGGTGTGCCCCCGGATGTGTGGCGCTACTACCTCCTGAAGAACCGTCCCGAGACTGGTGATACCCAGTTCGAATGGCGCTCCTTCGTTGAGAGCAACAACAGCGAGCTGCTGGCTAAGCTGGGCAACCTTGTCAACCGTGTCATCAAGCTTGTTACGGCATCTTACGGCTCGGTCGTTCCCGAGTTCACTGTCCCCGAGAGTTTCCAGCCCACCTTGGACGAAGTCACGACTACTCTCAGACAGTACATTGAAGAGATGGAGGGTGCACACCTCCGCGCTGGTGTGGTGAGTGCGATGAAGCTGGCCGAAGCCGGAAACGGATTGATCCAGGCCAACCGCCTTGATAACTCGTTGATTGCCAACGAGCCCGAGCGTGCTGCCGCGGTCGTCGGTACTGTGCTCAACTTGATCCACCTCCTGGCCAGCGTCTTCTCTCCCTACCTCCCCGCCACCTCCAAGGCGATCAACGAGCAGCTCGACGTGCCGTTCGGCCTGATCCCCTCTCTGGAGGACATCAAGGACGGCTGGAAGCCGACTGCCATCAAGCCGGGTCACAAGATCGGCAAGGCCAAGTACCTGTTTTCTCGTATCGACCCCAAGAAGGCCGACGAGTGGCGCGAGATGTTCGGTGGTTCCCAGGCCGACCGCCAGAAGAAGGAAGAGGAAGCGGCCAAGGCAGCGGCCAAGAAGGCCGCAAAGGATGCTGCTAAGGCCAAGAAGAAGGAGAAGAAGGCCAAGGCTGCTGAGGCCGCTGCCGCCGGCAGCAATGTCGAAGCCTCCGCCAAGGGAGGCGCCCAGGCTGTGGAGGTTACCACCGATAGCAAGACCGACGAGGCCGTCGAGAAGGTCGCCGATGGCGTGGCCCAGGTCACCATTCCCTCCTCTTAAATCACATAGAATTCCCAGCCCCCCAATCCCGTCAAAAGACTCGGAAGACAGCGTCTATAGAGTTGCAGCGACTAGCGGACTCCCTTGATATCCTGTGCTGATGATTAGAGCGTTTTCTCTCATTCCCCTTCCTTCCGTTTTCCGGCTTCGTCATCGTAGATCGTTGATGATCTATAGCTACTTCTTCTTCCTCTTTCTTCTTCTCGTCTTGGGATACTGCGTTGCTACGTATGCAAAACATACTTTGTGAAAATGGAGTCGATATGAGATACGATGTTGGTGAAATGAGCGCAACGGTTGATGACTGACTGATTGATTGATTGATTGATTGATGGGTTCAGTAGTATCTTTTCGGTTTTGGATGTCTTGCTTTAGGCTTCACATTTGTTATTATCCTGCATAGTTTCAGTTCAACAAAACTCGACAATTCAACATGGGTTTCAATACAATCCTATCCCGTCTTCTCTGTGCTCTACCCCAACGTTCCCAATTCAGTTACATAGGTCGAAGGGTATCGCCTGTCGCCAGCAGCTACAGTAGACTTCCTGTAATATCAGACATGGGGGACCCCGGATAGACAACAGGATTAACCTGAATAAATCGCTCATATGCATTCCCAGAGAGTAATAGTAGTAATAACAAAAAGAGTACATGATACGGGGAAATGAAACAAAGGGGAAAAAAAAAAAAGAAAAAAGCATGACGAGCCAATCCATGTATAACCGAAGCATGATACTCCAGATGTATGAGCCCTGCCAAAAGTCCATTTGAAATCGAAAGGTTTGGCCTCCACGACGCCTCCATGTGCAGATCCCTTCCAACTACATAGCCTTCTCCCAGTCTACTCCATTACCTCTTCCGGTTGTTTGGTCTAGGCTTCACTTCCTCTTGGCTGACAGGGTGCAGCATGACCTTGTTGGGCAGTTGCTGGTTGTTGGCGGAGTAGCCCTTGCTCCAGTCGTAACTGACGGCATAGGCGAAGATGTTGCCGTTGCGGTTGAAGGCGGTGCTGGAGATGGTACCGCCCACGGAGGGATATCCCTTTAGACGGTGCTTGGCGTCCTTATCCCAGAAGTGGAAGGTACCGTCACTGCCGGCGGTGCTGAAGGTGCCGTGGACGGGGTGGAAGGAGATGGCGTTGACGGAGTAGATGTTGTTGACATCGCGCTGAGGAGTCTCACGGTGGCACTTGAAACTGAAGTTGTTGGAGGAGTCCTTGTCCTCGACATACTGGATCGCACAGCGGCCCTCAACACTGCCGACGGCGAAGCCAGTGGCAGTCGAGAAGCAGCTGACTACTCGCGTCTGCCACTTGAGGGGAGACTGCATGGTCTTGTAGAATTTGGTGGGGTTTTCGAGGTTGATGACGTTGATATAGCGGTCTGCGGTGCCGACCACGAGGAGTTTGTCCTTGACATCCATGGTATAAACACGCTCCTGGCACTCCACCGTGGCGATGGGATTCGACTGTCGCAAATCCCAGTACTTGATAGTCTTATCCCAAGAGCCGGTCACAAGTAGCGGGGTCCCTCCGGCCGGGTTTGGGATCATGTGGCAGCATTTGATGGGCGCATCGTGAGCGGCGACTTGAGTGGTCGCATTGGTCGCAAGGTCGAGCATACGAGCGGCTTTGTCGGCGCCAGCTCCGACGACTTTCGTACCATCCTAGGTAGTAGCAGAGTCCAGATCAGTTAACTGTAGGCACTGCGACAAGGAAATGAGGGCGAGCTCACCGGCGACCAGCAACAGCTCAGAACGGGGGCCTCATGCTCGAACAGAGCTTTACCTTCGCTCTGGCCCTGCTCATTGATCTCGTAAATGCGAACCTTCTTGTCCCATGAGGCGACAGCGAGGTGTTCACTAGCCGGGGAGAAGCGGAGGTCCGAGATACTGTCCTCGGGAGGTTGGTTCAGGGCAACATCCTTGGAGATATCACCTGTGGTGTTGGTCTGACCAGCTGAGGTCGTCGCGGCGCCGACGGAACCGAAAAGCGACATTAGGGCGGCGAAGTATTACACTATATGAACCGATTAGGCGATAAGCTGTACCATCAGGGAAATTGAGGGGATCCGCAACGCGAGACGAACCAGGAAAAAGCAGACGTGACTGGGAGCGGGAGGAAAGGCAGCAAGACCTGGGTGGTGTTGTACCCAAGCGGTCGCGGAAGAGAGGCGCAACCGGCCAAATTGACCGAAGAGCGTGAAGCTTGGATGATTCGAAAGGCGCACTAGATTGGCAGCCCGAGCAGCATTCACTAATTGCACGAAAAGGAATGGGATGAAGATGGATTGGATTGTATGGAAGCTCGCTCATCCAAATGGGCAATAATTAATCGAATATCTTCTTCGCGGCTTTCCCTTCACCGCCTTCAAACAAGACAAACTGCTGAGTCAGCTGGGGGAGAGCTTCCTTCTCGCCTTTCCGTCCTGGGTAATCACTCTGTAGTACATAGATAGTCACTACTACCTACTACTTCGTAGTGGGTAGGACAGTGGGATTATCTCTACCACTGTTTGTAGTGAGATGCTCTTTAGTCACTTTCAAGATAACCTGCATGCTTAACAGCAATTTGACAAATTCTTCGCTTTGCTTCTTTAAGTTCATCCTTCTATACCAATGAAGGGAATGGCAATAACTAGTCTCCCCACATCTGAGACTGCTGGACTATATAGATATACAAGCCGCTTAACAACATACCTTGCCAACAGTCTAATACCAATCCCCTGACTGCTCGGTTGAGGCCTCAGTTCTTTGCAGACCGGTCGAATCTGCTCAACGCTGGTATCTCATAACCATTAACGTCAACAAAATGGGCACTCGCTACGAGCATGGGAGGAAGGGAGGGGGGGAAAGCTGACCTGCAACGGGTCGCCACCCATTATCATTGACTGATGCTGGTAGTGTGTTGCAGGCAATATGGAAATGCAGCGTGGACCCCCGTTATGATTCGTAGGACCCCGCCCAAGCCTGCACGGTCGAAATATTGGATGGCCAATAACTTGCAATCCAACACCTTATGATCGCCGATTGCTGTAGCCCCGTCTCGGGCGCAGTTTCACTTTCGAAGGTACCTAGTCTACGTTGTAGGCAGGCTACAGCCTACAGGGGGGGCATCACACCACTGGTCCAGTCCCGGGGCCTGGACAGGCACACCCATCAAGACTCCTCTCAAACCCTCGAGCTTGTCTAGTCTCGGCCAGGGCTGGTATCCCTTCATTCGATGCCCTCGCGATTTGGATGTCAAAGGACCTCACGTGCCACGGGGGGGATGACAGACCTTACATGAGCGGACGTTTACAGTTCAACCTGTACCACGGAAGGCATCTGCCGATTGTCTGGCACAATGAAAGGAAATGGGCGCCATGAGGTCATGCATTTCATCGGTCTTTCCGTCTGGGGTTGATCCGCTTGGACGAGTCAATCAGCTCAAATCAGTTTGGTAGTTACGAGAAAGGTGACGCATTTTCGATCTTCATTACGGCTGCTGGCTTGATGGGGAGGGGGTGTCGTATGCCACTACTATACCTACAACGACTACTATACCACTACCTGGAGATTGCTCCGTCAAAGATACCGCAGGTAGGTGCAGGGAGAAGGAAACAGAAATCATTGGGCCAGGCGGGAGAGCGACCGAAGGAGAGAAAATAAAGTACGGGCGAAAGAAGCAGACCAAGTGGAGCGGGCGGGAATGCGGGGTGCAGCCTTAGTGGACCGTCGCCCGGAAGCTCTCGACGTCAGGCTTGCTCGTGTGATCCGGTTGCCCCGGGTGCATCATTCATTGATTTTTATCTACTACTTACTTACTTGGAGAAATTTATCTGACACCTTAAGAATTCCACACTATCTAAATTCATTCATAAATGAAAATGGAGAGAGGGTTATGGGGAGGTTGGGTGGGAGGGAGAGGTGGTACTTTGAAACCATTCATCAGGTGATGGTCCGGATGTAGATATGCATCGTCCGGTGCGGAGATCCTAACAACCATCCTCCTTCTCCTCCCATCATTCCACCCTGCCTGCCATCTTTCTCTCTCTCTCTCTCTTCTCTTGCCATTCAGGCTTCCTCCCCTGTTCATAGTGGGAACATACGATCCAGGATGATTGCTCTGGGGCCCGCTTCTATTCATCATTTGAGCCATTCAGTTTCCATCATAATCCCTGTAGCTGTGCAGTAGTTTGCAATTGAACTTTACGTACACCCCGTGCTGTAGACTACTCATTAAACCTCCTCTCTTAGTCCGATGCAGCCCATGCCTCTATGTATGTATGTATGTATAGATGAATGTACGTCCGTATCTATCTACATTATGTATGAATGGTATGGATGGATGAAGAGAGGCAGCCAAGAGGGAATTAATGGGGATGTATCAGGTAAGGAACACGATGGTATGGTATACGTCAGGTAACTTAGTAGTAACTGACAGAGACAACATCCCAAAGTAGCAAGTGAGAGCAAAGTGAACCGCTCCTTCCCTCTTCTTCTTGTTCTCCCCATTTCTGGGTTGGCCCATCCATGTCACCTGCCCTTTCCCTCTCCCTTTTCTTCCCTTCTTCTTCTTCTCTTCTCCTCCTTTTCCTTTCCTTCCTTTCCTTTCTTCTCTCTACTATCTTGTTGGGTCCTACTGACTTGATTCTCCCTCCCTCCCATTCCATACTACTCACTGTTCATACATACTACTTACTCCTTCACTTGCTGGTAAGTTCAACTCTTCTATCTAAGAGTAGCACTAGAATGCTCGAGTAGTCATTCCACGTCACCACTCGGGTCCTTCCCTCCTCTGCCACTGGGGTGTCCTCAAGTGGCCAAAGGAACATCATCCATCCCCTTAATAGTACACACAACTAACAAGCTATTCTGTATACCAGGGCTCCTACTAAGAGATTCACTGCTTCCTGTCACCATATTCCGCAGCCATGTCTGAACCACTCCAAAAGATTGACTCGGCCATCGAGATATCCCCCAAGGATGAGAAGGCCCCCGACAAGGATGCCAAGAAGTCCCACAGACGTACCTCTTCCCATGCTGAGGGTGTCTACAACATCAAGGAACTTGGTAGGTCCTTTCTTTCTACAGTTATTCTTCATAAAGAACATAGAGCATCCTCTTCTGCTAACCACTCGTTCATTTGTAGAGGAGAAGAAGATCGAGATTACCCTTCCAATTGAAACCCAGAAGACTGGATGGTATGCATGTTGCTAAATATACCTTTTCAGAAGACCTGAGGCTAATCGGGGTAAACAGGAAATTGAACACCTCACCATCGACTATTGAGGACAAGGATATCCTTAAACTTCAGCTGGTCAACCCCCCGGTCAAGAAGATCGACTTGCACTTCCCACTAGGGCTCGAAGTCACCGCTCGCAATATGAAGGGCGTCACGATAAAGGATGCGCTGGACGCGATCTACAAGCAATTCAAGAAGAAGGTAAGTAGCTCAAGATGATGATCCATCAGATGTCTCCCGTTTCCTCCAATAATACTGACTTCCCATCCGCTCTAGGCCGACGATGAGTTGGACAAGCCTTACCTCGCTGGTTTCGAGTGGGACAAGGACGAGTGCTGGACACGCCTCATTGTTCACCAGACCAAGCAGGGCCCCCCTCAACAGCCCAGCAAGAAGTCCAAGAAGAAGAAGGCTGAAGAGGCATAGACTGCAATCTGCTTCGGACAGGCCGTGTCCATCCTACAATGTCTTCTCTCTTACTCTCTCTTTCAATGGCTACTTCCACCATACTTTGTGATACTGTCCTCTTCGTGCCCTTGGCCTCTCTGGAACAGTATCCGGGAGAGTCGAGGCAGGAGCTAGGCGAGGAGATGATAATCCCTGTAATCTGCCTTTGTTGTCTTTTCACTCCAACTCTCTGCTTTCGTTTCCCGTCCGAGGATGGGCCTTGGCCGAGTTGACTTAGTGAGCACCGGACGATCTTGTATCTTCGAGCTCCATTCCTTCATTCAGATTCAATGTGGAGACACAGGAATACTTAGTTGACCTTCTGAATAACTGATGTAGAAACTACTGCCTAGTGTGGTTCTAGTAGACGGGCTAACCCGGTAGGTCCAGGCACCAACGATCATGATGGGTCGACGTCCCACCCTTATCAGCATGTGATTATCAGACGTATGTGCATCGGCCTCACTCGCCCGCCGCACCTGCAACAGCTACATTATATAGAATATCCGCAAAACTCGATGCAGAATAGCACAGGCGCTAAAGCGCTGAAGAACAGATGCTAGAAAAGCACATCAATGCAACGCCCGCTAATAACAATACAGCCTCGGCGATAGAGATAGCAGAAAGTCGACAAAGAAACAGACTGAAGAGAGAAAGAACAAGAAAGATTAATATCATACACATTAGCATGAAGTCATCAACGTATTCGTCCCGCGTCCCCCCGCACCAAACAAAACTAAAACGACCTCGTCGAGGATAGTAAAGAAGAGGTGCGCATTCAACCGTCGATTATTCAAAGTCGCAAAGATCCTGCGCGCAGCGGCCTGCGCATTCGCTCGTCCGACCACATTGCCCGCTAGATCGGGGATCAGCGTGGCCAGGACCAGACTTGCTTCAGTGCGACTCTTCAGCCGCTCCGACGCAGTGCGGACGCGGCTTTGGCGAAGCACACCGCCCGGCCACATGGTATCCTTGATGAGGGTGATGTAACGCAGAAGCGAGTCATCCTGGACAAGGGAGCGTGCTCCTTCGCGAACTTTGCGCTCGATCGTACCTCCTAGCAATTGATGGAGGACGACGACCACGGCACGACCGCGCAGCCAGTTATTTCCCTTGTTCAGCTCGAAAGCTTCCAGGAACAGATCGCAGATGGGTTTGATGAAGGGCTCGAGTTCGCGGTCTTCGAAGGCGTTTAGTTCGGCTTCCGCTTCGGCGGCGGTGACGGCGTCCTCGGTGGCAAGGCCAGTGTCACCGGGAGATACTGTGGTGGAAGTGGTGGATTGTTGGTTTGTAGCGGCAGAGATGAGACTTTGTCCGGCTGTGGATAGTTGATCTAATACGCCGAAGTTGCCTAGGAAGTCATCCATGCCATCGGCGACGGAGTTGTAAATCCGAGTGACTAGGTCTTTGGTCTCTCCGTTGGTGGTGGAGCTTTGGTTCTCGTTGCGGGGGATGATGGCTCGTTGGGAGAGGAAGGCTCGTAGGTCCCGACTCCGGCATACTTCAGGGAGTAAGAGGAGTTTCTGTAGATATGCTTCTAGAGCTAGGCGTCGCTTCTGGAGGAATTCTTTCTGGAGCTTGAGAACGACACGTCGACGTGGGAACTCCAGGTGACGGACGGACGGGTATCTCATGCGTAGCTTCTGATGAAGTTCATGGAATTCGCTGTACCTGCGGGCTACGGCCCAGGAGGCGGCGGGCATTTGCTCACCGGCGTTACGTTGCACCTCGACCACATCTAGAAGATATGTCAGTGGATCTGGACAGCAAGTAGCTCCCTTGACAGACGGAGGTAGGATGTAAGGAACGTACACATAGCGAATTCTCGACCATCTTCCTCCTTTCCAACTACAATGGATTTTATACGGACGGTCGATCGGCCATACAGACTGTTGTCACTTTCTTGGATGATATACTGCTGTCGTTGCATCTCTTTGCGGTGAATCTCGCGTTGGATGCTCGCTTTGGATTTGCGCAGAATCCTCAGCTCCGCGGTGTTGTTGGTGAGTTCAGCTTTGCGAGTAAGCGTGTCTACCACTGACTCTTGAGATCCGAGCTTATCGATATCTGCGGTGAGCGCCTCAATGGCCTCCGTCAATCCGAGATCCCCAGGAGCCGCCTCATGGACTTGATCGGCCGGGTCTGTATCTGTTCCCATCGGCTCTTCATATTCGTCTTCAATATACTTCTGCTGTTCAGGGAAGAGATCATCATCGAAGACCCCCTGGCGTGAGGATCGATCCACGAGGCCCAATGAGGCAATGCTCGGCTTGATACGGTCCTCTGTCCGACTATCTGCCCGAGGGATATCTATTGAGCTGCGCGGCGATCTGGGGAAAGGGTCGCTAGCGGGCAATGCAGACGGGGACACATCAGCGTTCTTCACATCTTCAATTCGAGTGTTTTTGGGCTCGCTCGCAATGATGTCGTTCAAGGCTGCCTCCATGTTCTCGATAACTTGGTTTTGATTCGCCTCGGTTTCGCCATTTTGTGAGTCTTTCCCTAGACTTTGTGTCGACATTGCCAGGGGATCTGTATCGTAGTCGTCGTCAAACAGCGGTGCAGATCGCTCGGAATCGAATGAGCGCCTGGAAGACTCATCGTCATCAAATAGTTTACCCATGCTACGAACATCGCTCGAAGAAACCGCCGCTCGTCGCAAATCTTTGGGCCTGGCGCCAGGCTGTGATGAGGTGCGAGACATCAGAGGAGGTAAAGGCCGCCTTTCGGGCACTTCAGCAATGTTCGGGGAGCTCTGTTGAGGGGACTGCGGGCCTGCTTGGGATGCTTCATCCGATGCAAGGTATTTGTAGTAGAGATCTGACTGCTTGAACTTCGGGTAGTAAATTTCCTGAAGCTTATCAAGCACCGCAGATTGAGTGCTCAAAATGACCGTCCGAGCTTTTCGATACTGCTCCGAGGTGGCCCGCTTCCCTGCGCTCAGGAAAGCCTTCACCACCCGACGGGACTCATCCGTGACTCTCAATTCCGGTTTCGAGAGATACGTCTCACTGATCAGAGCCATGTCGCTTCGGTCCGCTGGGGTCCAGCTGGTGGAGGTCGGGGAGCTTTCTTCTCCGAAATCATCCTCTAGAGGGTTGCGAAAACCGTCGACCACGATCCAGAATTGAACTAGAGACATGAGCTGCTGACGGTCCATAAACTCCATGAAGTAAGAGAGACCCGACGCATCATGCATGACATCCACTAAGGAGGCTTCCTGAGGAATAGAATTCTTACGGCGAAAGTGAGATACGGCCGCGGAGGCGTGCGACATCTGAGTGCCTCCGGGGGCAGAAAGCTTAGCTACTTTTTGGTCCAAGACCCTCTTACCGGTCTCCAGTCGTCGGAGGTAGACCTGGTCCTGTCCTTCCACCATAGTCTCCCGCTTCAGTTGGCTTGCCACCAAGGCTCTGAAGCGTCTGGCGTCCGAAAGATTGTTACAGCGCCGGATGGCCCGGACAAATCGCTCGAAAGCACGCTCTGAATCGTGAGGACTCAGTCGAGGAAAAGGGTGCCCCCTTTTCGACCGGGGAGCTGGAGATGCATGCTCGTCCAGGGCCGCCCTGAGTTTCCGGACAGTCTTACGGTCCTGAATCGCGGTGCGACCATAGGCCTCCATCAACTGATTCCATGAGTCCGGGTCGGAGAGGACGGAAACGAGAGGGAAGAGCACGGCGCAGGCTACAATCTCACGAATCAAAACGGAAACAATGCGACTATTGAGGACGGATTCCGGGAACAGTTGGGGCAAGAGCCCGACGGCAATTTTGCGGAGGTACTCCTGTTCCAGTAGCTTTTGGTCGGAGAGAGACAGCATCGCCGCCGGGTGTAAGTTCCCCTCGCGATACTTGCTCGCGATGGCAATGTCCAACTCTTCCGACTCCGTGACATTCCTGGTAAGATTCCTTCCCCGGACCAAGCGCTCAGCAACCTCAAACTCCTTCAGATGGGATGTCAGAACGGGGAAAATCCGGGACACTACAAGAGAGACGAGGTCTTCCGTTAGGAGCCTATCGCGCAGGTTTCCAATGGCTGTCCGAATAGTATGATTCACCTCGTTCACGAATGTGGGGTTGGGGCTGATATGCTGGTACCATGATGCGATGAAGTCCCGCGTGGCGAAGGATAGGAGCTCGTCAATGCCTTCAGAGACGATGAAGGACTGTGGGTATAGAGATTGTGGATTATAGGTTGAACGGCTTTTGAATGCTTGGGTTTCTTGATCCCAGTGGTGGCGGGCGAGGAATGCGACGCGGGGACTCGTGGGCGAAGGTGAAGCAACGGCGTCATTCGGGGAGCGGATGGTGAGAAGCACGAGAGCGAACAACACGGTGGAGGAAAGAAAAGCACCGAGCACCAGAGCATAACCCAGATATCTCAGTATGGGGAGCCATTTGACGGCGAGACCCCAGGCTATAAAGGCACCAATGCCCAGGAGGACATAATCGCGATGCTTCAGGGCCATTCTCCCTGGAGCGGATGCGCTGCCATGCCGGTCAGGCAAGGAAAGCCGAGAGGGAGCCGAAGCAAGACATGATGGAGAAGAGAAAGTGAGGACTGCCGGCTAGAGAAGAAGAAGAAAGGATTAGAACGAGAGCTACAAAAGTAAGAGGAAGAAGGATGGATTGGGATCAGGCGGTGAGTTTGGGAGAGGCTAGTAGTTGCGTCACTCAGGTACTCGATAACTAACTTAACTCCCTTCAGAAGGGGAAGATCTGCAGTTGGGGTTTGTTTATGATAGTGAGATAAGATATGTAAATGGTAGTATAAGTTATAGAATATATACTATCATCATCAAATGAGGAGAGAATAACTTTGAACTGTGGTGGTAGTAGTCGTAGTAGTAGTACACGGGAAATCTGCCTGAGGCCTTGTCTCGTAAGTTGTAACTTGTAAGATCCCGTGCGTCTTTTTCAAGACGTCATGCCGTTTCGGGAATGTTTTCTTCTCTCCACTTCTTCTTGCTGTCCTTCTTCTCTCTGCTTTCCCTTTCCTTCTTCTTCTTCTTCTTCCTTTCCCTCTTCACCTTCTTCATTACCTCCTCCATTCCTTGTCTTGTCCCCTTCTTCTTTCCTTATACCTCATCTCTCATCTTCTAATCTCCCTTCCTCATGGCTTCCTTGTCCAACTTTGTCGACTTCTCCCAGCCGTCCCTCCAATGTACGTGGAGCTTTCCCCGGCTAATCCCCTCTCTTCCCTCCCCGCATGTGATTGTAACTGTTTCTTTCTCTCTCTCAAACAGGGGCTGCGCTGTCAATCGCCTTTAACCCTATCTTCTGGAAGTAAGTACTTTGCCATATTACATTCTTTCCAGTGCTAAACATTATTCTATCAAGCATTGTCGCCCGTGCTGGTTGGTCCCATCTCCCACTCCAAAAGCATTCACCCCAGATCCTACGAGGAATCCAGCTCTGGCAGTTTCTGCCTTGGCTCTACCATTTCCCACGTCCACCTCTTTCCTCCATTCATCTTTCAGTATAAGAGGCTTATGACCAATTTCCTCGGTCATCTCATTCTGTAGAGTATCGGAGTCACTTCTTGACTCGTATATTCGGTAATGCCTACTACGGTTGCTACTTCCTCGCCGTCACCATCTTCAGTCTGGGAATTCTGCGAGACCATGTCTACCAAGTGGCCCTGGAAGACCAACCTTACTATGCCCCTGTGCACCAACCCGTCCTCGGCGGCCTTCTTTTCGCCTTCGGCTCCGTCCTCGTCCTGTCCAGCATGTATGCCCTCGGTGTCACCGGCACCTACCTTGGCGACTACTTCGGTATCCTGATGGATGCGCCTGTCACCGGCTTCCCCTTCAACGTCACCGGTTCCCCCATGTACTGGGGCAGTACTCTGAACTTCTTGGGTGTTGCTCTCTACAAGGGCAAGGTGGCGGGCGTCTTCCTGACGGCCGAGGTCTTCATCCTGTACTGGTTCGCTCTCCAGTGGGAGGAGTAAGTATCCCATCTATCTTTTCTATATTGGCCCACTATGCACCATGGACTTGCCTGTACTCTTTTTTTCGTCGCAACCAAAGCCCATATGCACATGTGTCTCAAGCCCCAACGCAAAATGAGATTTTATTCCCCACGCACGGAATTGGTAAACCCCCACTGACCCGGGCCTGGTAGTCCCTTCACGGCGGAAATCTACGCCAAGCGGGAACGCGAGCGTGCCAAATCCAAGCGCGGCGGCAAGAGCTTGTAAGCCGAGACGTCACAGGAATCTATGTCCGGGGGTCTAGATTACCGCCCATTTGCCTCCCACCAGTGGAGCTTGGACCTTTCGACATCATTCCAGTCTCGCCAGTCCCTGAGTGGAAACACAGAGCTCGTCAAGCTACTGTTCTGAGTCTACACGGGGCTGCATATCATGGTCGCCTAGCAGTCTGGTTTTGTCCAGTGAGAAGTGGAAGGAAGAGGTGGAGGGCTAGAATGAGAGCGAGAGAAAGGGGCAGGATAGGGTGGGCAATAGCAACAACAGCTGGCTACGTATAGCCACTGAGAAGGAACAAAAGAAAAAGGAAAGTGCGGTGACATTGAGATGCTCAGATAGAACGGAGAAGAAAATTACTACAACGTTGAATTACCACATGGCAGTCTTCTGCTCTCAAGTATAGATAAACAGGAACAACGGGTATCATTTGCTACGCTTGTGCGCTTTCGCCATGATCATCAACTATCATAAAATCACACCATACTCCCACCAGGGATGGTAAATAAGATCACCTGTTTCACTATCCATATTCCCGTCAAGGGAAAAGAGGGAGAGGGGAAGACCATCTCACTCAAACCGATTCTCCACGGTAGTCTAATATGAGACACCTGGTTCACCTCCCCAAAACGCCGCCAACTCCACGCTATGAGTCTTTGGAAAGCGCAAGTAATTTGAGCGTGCAGATGGCAAGAGCTGCATCGGAGAGACATCCAAAGCCAAAACGCTGTCGATTTCAACAAGGATCCAGCCTATGCCCGTCGACCTCGGCCTCTCTTGGTCGACGTCCGGCTCTCCTCCACCGGTTCGATTTCATCCTCATCAGCACCCTTCTTGAGATCTTCTCCTTCGGCAAGGCCCCATTTCTCTCGATCGTACCAGTCTTCTCCGTCGCTCATCTCGCCCACGTGCCCCTCCGCTTTGCACCACTCGAGCACATCCTCTTTCATCCGATTGGCCCGGAGCAGAGACTCCAGCATATGCTCAAATCCACGAACGGTCTCCTCCTGCTTCTGTACATAGGACCAAAGCAGTCGACGTGTCTCTTCCGCTTCGTTGGGCGGGAGGCCGAAGTTCGAATCTGGCCGAACAGAGTCCGGTATAAGGAAAAGAGGGTGGGGTGTCGGAAGACTCCCTAATGTGTCGTCAGAAGGGGACGGGGAGAGGGGTCCGGAGTCGCCCTCCTGTGGATTCGCTGCATTAGCCTGTGCCCGGGTCGTCATGCGCCGAGGTGGCTCGGGAGATGATCCATCTTGCATTTCTGCATCTGCATCTGCATCCGCATCCGTCCCGTCTACCTGTGCATTGTCTCGAATTTCTGAATCAGGCTGTGCATTGCCCTGGGTTGTGGCAACTTCCCGCTCCATGCCATCCTTGTCCAAAGTGCCATCTGAGTTCGTCACTTTATCCCCATCAGACTTTGCGTTTGCTGTGAGGCTTCCATTGACTTGTGTGACTTGGTTAATAGTCTCTGAATGATGAGGCAGGTCGCCAACTGGGGTATCAACTTCTTCTGATTTCGGCTCTCGGGGTTGTTCAAGCGCATTCGCAACAGTTTCTTTGTGCGTCATCTCCTGGTCATGAATATCGGTCATCTCAACGTCCTTATCCGCGGTAGTTTTGTCCTGAGCATTCTCGTTCTGGGAAGGCCGAGGCGACTTTGAATCACCTGCACCCACGGACGCGCCTTGCACACTGCTTTTCTGAACAGAAGGCCCTGGCACCAAAGGATTTGCGGTCCCGTTATGTCTGTATTGACTCCCGGGTGAGCTACGTGTCGTATGGGCTATCCGGGGTTCAAAGATCCATCTGTCTTCAGGCGTCTCCACTGCACCGGACGGCATCCAAGAACTGTCTCCCAAGAACTGCCGGTGCAGATTTCTGGCCCGCCAAAGCAGTGCTCTTTCTTGGCGGAGCTTGGCTTCGATTGCCTGCGTCATGTGCAGCAGCGCTTTTGACGTATAAGCGTGCGATAGAGAAGGATGGGTAGGAAGTTCGGACGGGTGTTTTAAAGGGCAAAGGAAGTCTAAAAATCAATTGTGGTGCTTGATTAGCAAGAAACTTTGGGAAGACATCGAGATGGAGCAGAAGGCCTCACTTTCAAGCGCAATTTCCGAGAATGGATTTTCTGCCGCCGCAGCGGCATCAGCTTCGGAATCTTCGTCATCCTCGTCCAACTCATCACCTTCTGAATCATAGCGCACGGGATTGGGCTGGAGGATATAACGCGTGTATCCAGCATGTTCGATTTTCTATAGATAGATAAGTTTCCCTAGCGGTCAGCGTGCCTCCCTTATCATCATCACCCTGATCGACTGATGCTCCCATCAAAAGAGAGCTTTCGACGGCCGCGGGGGTGGAACTAACCTGCTTATAAAGCTCCTCCGGATGTATGTAACCCAGAGCACCTTCTCGGACGAAATTCGAATTTGTGTGTAGTTTATTACCCCGATTTGTTGGTTGAGTGATCGGATCGTCGGGTCCAGAGTCTAAACAAGAGCGAACGGTTAGAGAAAATGAGAAAGACAACGGGGAGAGTAGAGGACGCACAGTCATTCTCCTTGCGGAGGGCTCTCTTCATGCCAACAATGGTGTCGGCAATCAGAGCTGCCTGCGCCGCCATGGCTGGAATTGTAGTGGAGGCACTACTACAGCAGAGGCAGCCAGAGTGATGGCGACAGCAGCCGAACGAACGAAAACGGGATTCCCCGAATGGATAGGGCGAATACGGAGTTCTATGGGACGTGATCGACAAGACAAAAGCCCAGCACCATGAAGCATGCGAATTGGTATAGGGGAGAGCAGATGAGGGGAAGAAGAAGGTGAAGAAGCGAGGGGAAGAGACGGAAGAACGAAGTTGAGGTGGAAGACTGGCAGTCCGGGCAGGGAAGGAACGAACGGGCGCAAGTTGCAACTCCGGATTGGGGAGGAGCTGCGGGCGTCGCTCCGATCGCCGCCGCTAGTCCTCTTTTGGTAGCGCGTGATAAGGGCTCAACACGTGAGCGAGAGCGGTATCTAGTTACTATCTTGATAATCGATGAATAGATAACTACTCTGATTTAGTTGCACTAAGTAGAAGGGTAACGAGTACATCTACTAGGTATCTGTCTATAGCACTCGATCTATGATCCCAATTAAATTGAGGATGGTCCAGATCTAAACCTGATTTCCATACATACCACGCTCCACGCTACATACAAACTTTTTCCATGACCCTCGCCGCACACCTTAATCGTCGGCATCAACCCAGACTAAGATTCCTTTCTTATCCGACCGCATGTCTTCCGTCGGTAGCACCCGCAGGGTCTTGTTAAAATATGTATCGACGACCAGGAGCTGCGGCTGGATCCACAGACCTCGTTTAGATGCCAGCAAGTTGTACCGGACCGTGTGTCTGCTTAAGGGCACCAGCTGCACGACCATCGTCTTCGGTCCGCTGAACGCAAAGTTCTCACTTGCTTCCATGCTCAGGTTGAAAGTAAGGAAGTGCATCGACGGGTTCTCTAGAGTGTAATCAAGATGGATCAACCCCGAAAGTGTATCAGACGCCTTAG